GAATTGGCATCGCATAGAGAAAAGACGGGATACACACCAGAACAATCACAGAGCTTTCCTCTGGGTGGTGGGAGTAGAGTTGATTAGGGGGTTTTTTTCCCCTTTTTTTTTTTTTTTTGTATCTTCCAAATTCTCTGGTAGCAGACCTTGATGTGGAAAACAGTTACAAAGAAAGATAACGTTAGAATAGCACCACCTCATCATTTGTTCTCGGTTCCCTGGCTTCCACCCCCGCACATTCACATAACATGCCCTCCCCACCAAGCGGAAAGGGAAACGGTGAACCTGAAAACCACCCAGGAAGTGGGAAGACAGGTGAGCCACTGGAGAGTGAAGCTCCTGAAGGGAGAATAGTGAGATTCCCGCCCTCCCAGGAGCCAGCACAGCAGCCAGCAGTATACACAGCCCACTACAGTGCAATCAAGTCAACATGCACCTTCAGTGTCTGTGAGCCATCCAGGGAAGTCTTATCCAGGTGGAAACTCCCATCAGCCCAGCTCTCCTGTGGAAGCTGTCTTTTGGGAGAAGGGTGCGTAACGCGAGTCACTGAGTTGTGTACTAGCATGCGATTGATAAAGGGTTAAAGAGGCAGCAAGGAAAAAAGGCTGTAATCAGTTTGGGGGTGTTTTGTGGGGAGAAGAGGAATGCTGCAGAGGAGACAGGCCGGGCTATCCATCGTCTACATTCATTTGTAGCAGAGTAAGACATTTACATTTTTCTGTATCAAACACATCTGTTCAATTAAAAAATAGTATAGTTGAGGTAAGTAAGGAAATGGTGTTCTAGAGACCGGCGCTATCCAATGGAACTGTCTGTGGTGATAAACATGTTCATACTGCACCATCCCATATGGTAATTACTGCCACATGTGCATGGAGCGCTTGAAATGTGGCCGGTGCAACCGAGGAACTGCAATTTTAATTTTACTATGTTTTAGTTCAAATAACCTAACGTAACTAGCTATTGTTCTTGGAAATCAGGTCTAACTTGTAGTTTTCCTCTGTGGATCCTTTGTCCTGCGGTCAAACAGCACTTACGAATAACCTTTAATTCTTTGGTTGAAAAGTATAAAATAAATTAATTGGATATTTTGAACCAACCATCTTAAGCTTCCATAGGTGATGACAGTAAGTGGTGGTTTTTATTTTATTAGGCAAAGGTAAATACGAGCCTGTAATACAATTCTGAAATATTAGCATGCCAAAAAATTACCTGAGTTCTTGTTAAAATGCAGGTTGCCATGCCCTGCTCCCCAACAATTCAGGAGTGCTTGGGAAGAGGGGCAGGAATGTGTGTGGCTAAGCAGTCACCATGGTGATTTGGATGTAGGGGTTCCTGAGCCAGACTTTGAGAAACACAGCTCTGATGAATGTGCATCCAGGCTGTCATGGAAACTACCTTGAAACTTCAGTATATTTAAAAACAAAACAACCGCTACGATAGCATGTTCACATTTGTTTCCACCAAAGAAGAAATGGCTTGTTTAAAGGAGATGGTTATGCAGTACCTGCTGTGACTCAGCCTCTGGGCTTATTTATTTCATTCAAACCACATAAAACCTAGGAAATGGGCATCTCACCCTGTTTCTCAGATAGGAGCCTGATCCTCAGAGTAGTTTAGTGAACTGACCAGAGTCACACACCTAGTGAGTGACACAGTCAGGATTCCAGCCTCTGAGCTGCAGATTCTTAATCCAGGGCACTTCCTGCTTCCAGATCTCCAGGAAATCAGCAAAAAGCGGAGACTGGAAAAATTCAAATATGTAACTTCTTTTTTTTTAATTAGTTTCAGGTGTACAAAACAATGTAATAATTAAACATTTCACCCCTCCCAAAGTGACAACCCCCCCTCCCCCAATCCACTGCCCCACTTCCCCAAAATACATATCTATTCAATTCCATTGACTCCACTCGCACACTGTAGTCCACATCCAGTGACAAATATCAATGTGTGTGTGTGTGTGTGTGTGTGTGTGTATATATATATATAATATATATGTATGTATATTTTGTGCATTTCTCTGAGTAGTAAGAAAAAAAAGGAAGAATGGATCCTAGGTGAAAGGATATTAATGCACTTGATATGGTTCCAAACTACCTTCTAGAAAGAGTGCAACAATTTATCCTCCCATATCAAGGAAACGTGCGTGTCCCACCTCATCTTTTCTAAAACTAGGTGCTAGCTTAAAAACATACATGCTAATTTGTTAGAGAAAAATAGTGGGTATGAATTAAAATATCATAGCAATATATTCAACTTCCTAACTCCTTAATTATTGCAAAAAAGGATTTATGAAAGACTATACACTTTCCCAGTAAGAACATATAGATACAGATATATGGGGAGATATATATATACATATACACACACACACACAGAGGGTGCCAAAAAAATGTATACACATTTTAAGAAAGGAAAAACTGTGTTAAAATTGTAATAGTCAATATATGCTGGTAACAGGGCTGGCTGAGTGGTGTGTTGGTTAAGAGTTGGCTTGGGAGCGCCAGCTCTGAGCAGCAGGGACCTGGTTCGGATCCCACATGGGCCAGTGACACTGTGCCCTCTACAGCTAAGATGGTGAACAACAGGTCCACCTGGAGCTGGGCTGCCATAAGTTGCTGGTAACACCATAGGCTGCAGTGGGGCTGCAGTGGGCTGCCGTAAGCTACCATGAGTTCTGGCAGCCTGTGTGAGCTGCCAGGAGCCGCCGTGAGTGGCCGTCCAGAGGCAGGCAACTGATCTGCCTCACCCAGGAAGAGCGCAATGATAATACCAACATGGGCCAGTGAAGCTACGTCCTCCACAACTAGACTGAAGAAACAAGGACAGCAACTTGTCTGTTCCCCTTCCCCGATTCCCCAATGCTGTTCCCTCCCCCAATTCCCCAATAAAATCTTTAAAA